AAGCCAGATAGGCAATAGATTTGACACTAGCACAGTTGGGGTTGGTTTTGATCCCTCCCAGAGCAGAAGTCTTGATTTCACAACATCCTCAAGCCAGAAGTCAACTGTAGAATCCTCTACACCATAATCATGATGTGGAAGCTTCTAGGCCTGTGGCAATGCTAACTTTATCAAACAAACCACTAATGTGATCTGTTTGTTTACTTGAGGAATGTAAACTAGGATTTGTGTAAATGCAAACTTTCCTCATTCATTGCATGAACCTTGAGTTCCTGATTAGCTACCTTTGTAATTGGGTACAGGTTTTAACTTTTAAGTCACTAAATCCTTGAAGCAGTAACTTTCCTCCATAGTTCAAGCATATCCAGGTTAGGTGGATTGGCCAAGTTAAATTGCCCTGTACCATGCAGGCAAGATGGACTTTCGATGGGAATTGCAGAGTGACAGGGAATAGGGCACAAGAGTAGGTCTGGGTGTGATGCTGTTCAGAAGGTGGTTGACTTGATGGGCTGAACAGTCTGCTTTGACACTAGGGATTTTGTCAGTTACTGACAATCATTGTTTCTGCACCAATTTTGAAATGTTGTGAAAATTGCTTTCAGTCACACTAGAATTGCAGGATTCTCCATGTGCTGAACTCTGCAACTGAATCATTTCTACGTGGCAAATGGTGAACTTACTGAATATCTTAACCAAGTCCTTGACTCCTTAGACAACAAAGGACTGCAGATGCTAGAAGCCAGTCTACAGGAGTGAGGCTGGAAAAGCATAGTGAGTCAGACTAGCCAAAGAACAGGCAAGTCGTTGTTGACTTGGGTGCTGCTCAGATGCTGTCTGTCGTGCTGTGCTTTTCCAGACTCTCCTTAATTACTTGAGCTGGTTTAACTTTGACAATTTCCAGGTTTGCCCCTTCCCCATAACTGCCAACTTTGGACACTCTTGGTAACTTTAGTTCCAGCATCTAAATTACTGCCAATTGAATGGATACTTGTGGATGTATGACTAACTTTTTGTAGTGCAGAGACCTTTTAACCTCACTTCTTCACTGAATGCTACAACTGTAATCTGGTTCTAGTGGTCAGTGTCACCATTGTTTCCACCCTTAAATTGGACAATCTCACAAGTATCACTAAACAAAAACTGAGAGGACTGCAGATGCTGCAAATCAGGAACAAAAACAAAGTTGCTGGAGAAGCTCAGCAGGTCTGGCAGCATCTGAAGGAGAAAACAGTTAACACTTTGGGTCTGGTGACCCAAACCAGAGTTCTAAGGAAGGGTCACCACACCCAAAACATTAACTGTTTTCTCCTTCTCAGATGCTGCCAGACCTGCTGAGTATTACTAAACACCCTAGCTAGACAGACATTTATGGTGTAGCAGTGACAGGAGTTTTAAAGAATCAATTCACACCACCCAGGACTCTGGGAACTACTTGTCTGTGTTAATGAATTTTTCTCCTAAATCTTGAGCCTAAGCTTTAACTGGACCAAGGCCCCTAGTTGCTGAACTTGCTTTAAACAATTGACTAGCAAAATAATTATACCCTAACTGTGATAAATCATGTTTTGGCTTTTAATGCATTGAATTGAAACCTTTCCACCCCTAAATTGCATTTGTTTCTTTTCCCCAAAACTAATTTATTGGAAGATCTCTCCCAATACAGAATGGCAATGATTGCAGTAAACTGACTTTGACAAAAGACATTTCAAGTAAACTTAGGTGTAGAAATTTGGCAGCTGCTTGGAATTTGAGCAGAACAATCCTGAATACTTCTGTGGAGGTAATGTAAGTGTCAATGCTGAAATATGAATATTTAAATTAGTTTCCTAATTTAATGAGTTCAGTATAGCAGTCATGTCCAAGTTGTGTTCTGATCCTGGATAAAGTATCCATGGCAAGTGGTAGTGCATGTATTTTAACTTGAGTACAGAATGCAAGCTGTACCATAGGTCCTAATTCTAATGGTGCCTTTACTTAGAATTCTCAAGGCCATTCTTGGGTTTCAAGATGTATTCCTGGTCTTCATAAATTGAGTCAACTAGCACTTCAGTGACCAGAACATGAGGTCTGTTCAGCCCATTGCATCTACTCTGCCCTTTACAGAAGCTGATCTAAATCCTCAAATGCACTTTCCTGCCTCTTCCCCATAATACTTCCCTTACTGATTTTTAAAAACTTGCCTCCATTTTAAATATACTTACAACCAGCCTCTAGAGCCTTCTGCAGTAAAGAATTCCCTAGATTCACTACACTTTCTTTCTCATCCATCCCAACTGGGTGATGCCCTCTGCCCCAGACTCCAAGAAGGAACTAAAATGTCACCTAAGTCTCCTGTTTCGTGAAGCTTGCCTGTCATTCATTCTTCCACATTCCAACAAAGTCCACTGTATTCAACCCCCTCAAGACTATCTGGTATTCTAGGTGTTGTCTGGCAACAACTTTGTAGTTTTAGCAAGACACCACTTTATACACCCCTCAAAATAAAAGGCCAGCATTGCATTTGCCTCTTCTGCTACCTACTGAACTGGGATGGTAGCCTCAAATATTAATACAAGATGATTCTATCTGCAGCTCTCTGCAATTGCTTTAAATTGACTTTCCAATTCCTGTCATGTAGTATACTCTGACCCATGTACTCCATCTTTCAGGTTTCACCCACTCATTCCAAATCACTTTCTCCTGCCATCCTTGCTGCTTGCTGTTTTTTGTTGTCTGCAAACTGCTATAATACAGGCAGATGCTGGGTTGAGCAGGTTCTGTTCTAGAGTCTATTCAGTCTTTCCTGCACAAATCAGAACACAGGACTATAAAAGAGCTGTTTGGATGTCAGGTCTCAAATTATACCCCTGAGTGTTTGAAAATCTGGGATCCCATGTATAAACTCTGTACAAACCATTTTGAGTATCTTGTCTTCATGCTTGTATGCTACCTTGGGCAATGCTTGCTGCTAGTGTTTATATTGGATCAAAATATCCCAGCACTCAGATACTCCAGAGCCTTGGCGTTTTTCCGTAATGCAGTTGCTTCATTGTCACTGTCCATCTTTCTGTCTCTTGATCTATAGTCTAGACACTTATTGTCTGTCTGATTTAGGGGCTTATGATCTTTGTAATGTGACATATATTTTAACAATGATAGCCTTAGAGGTGAGGGCACTGCAGGTAGATAGCAATGAACTCTGTTCCAGCAAACCAATAGTCTTGAACTGTAACTTTAAATTCTCCCTTTTGTAGAGGAGCAGTAATCTTCAAAAATAACCTCAGACACCATATTGTGGCCAGAGCAACAGTGCTTTAGGCATGAGCAGCTTGCCTACCCCCAGCTGTCTTCAAGAAACTTGGGCCTGAGTTGGAATATATACTTTAAATTTGGGGTTGAATCAGTTGTCTGGTGTTCATTTATCCTAATCTGTCTGCTATCGAGTTTGTCCCTTGACCATTGAGGACTTTAATGTTACATTGCTGTACTATTAACAGCAAGTTATGCTGAGCAAACTCCACTTGCAAGTTTGATGCTCAGCATGTTATAATTGCAGACACATTATTCCAATCTTTGGAATAAAATGTACAGTGCAGACAGATGGTATGGACAGCATGTCTGTCCTTCAAAAGATGTCTTTACAAGACAATCTTGTGACTGCACCAAAACTGGTAAGCACCACTTGAATTTGTGCAGCAAGCAGAGTTCTCTCCCTCTGTTACAGCTGGCAAGAGTAACCCTGACTTGTGAATGTCTAATATAATGTTTCAGTATCACACTAAATGAATAATGTAGTACCTGCTTTCCAAATTATTGTTGCTACAGACTGAAGAACTGTAAATCTCATGAGACCTATCTGTATAAAATTACTGCATCATTCTAAATCAACTTTCACTTGACTACATCTAGTTTTGCATAAATGTGGCAACCATGTGACTTTTTTAATATCTCCAGTAAAATAAGTGGGCTAGATTGTAAGGAATTTTGACAGATTTGGTTAGTACCAAATGAATGGCATATGTATTTCCTAATTTAACTGGGTTCTATAAAATCAGTTTGGATTTAAAAATACTGAACACTTGTGATCTGGAAAAATACTGTATTAACAGCTTGTTAGTTTATGCCCCAATCGCACATCTGAACCCAGTGCCACAAGTTCTTAAATACTTGCAACCCCAGCCACCCCTCTCCAGATTTCTAGGCCTTTGTATAGGTTAATGATTAAGTTAGCTTGAATTAATCACCCATTCCTGTAGTGGAATAGAATTGTGGCATTGTTCCGCTCCTAACTTGAGATCCTGCAATTGTCCACTAGCTTTTTTGAACTCGTGTGCCATTTTAGATTACAGAAGGGTTTATTGCACCCACTTTGTCAGCAGGATGAACTCATGTGAATTTGTCTTGGTTGTTTTTGAGGTGTCCTAACGTGAACAATCTCATCTTGGAATGCTGGATTCCCCCAACTTGATAGTTGAAATAACAATTTTTGGTTTGTCTTGTTTTCCCTTTAGCATGTTCAACTCACCAATTGCATTGAATTTGCACTTGGGTAACTGAAATACTTGGTTATACCATGACCAAAGAATGCAAATGTGTTCAAGCCAGGGTTGTAAGCAGCTAACTTCAGTTCATATTTCACTTTTAAATATTGCTGTAAACCCAGTTTACACTCCTGGCAGGGCTAGGGCATTATCTTGAGATTCCAGTTTGTGCGTACTTTTTTCGGTCTCCAGTCACTTAAATTTTTTTCCCCAGGCAGTTGTTCAAAATTTCAACTTTGCAGCCTTCAAAAGTAATGCTGGAGTAGAATCAATTGTAGCAAACAGTTTGAATATGCATAATGTATCAGTCCCTTCAGATAGTGCTGCATCTACATCTTTAGAGCTTGCATCATTATTGTTGCACAAAAAATGATTAAGTGCAATTTGAGTTAAGGAACCCAGAGTTTCCAGCTCCTGCTGGAGCAATGATCCCTTGAGCTTTACCGTTGTGATTGATACTTTAACTTTTTTTTTCTTCAGCTCCAAAACCTGGGCATTAATCCAGCAAACATTGGGTTCAGTACCCTTACTATGGAATCTGATAAATTCATCTGCATTCGGGAGAAAGTCGGTGAGCAAGCCCAAGTGGTCATCATTGATATGAATGAACCCAACAATCCTATTCGCCGTCCAATCTCTGCTGATAGTGCCATTATGAACCCAGCCAGCAAGGTTATTGCATTAAAAGGTAAGTGAGTTTGTGGTGGTTAAAGTCTAAAATCAGACTGTTCAGTACAAGCCTCCTTAGAACACTACATGGTGTTGGATGTTTTTTTTGGTCTTCAGCTTTAGTTTCTGGGTGATCACTAACCTTGATGCACTAGACAGTCACCTGGATGGTTCTTCATACTAAGGGGCATATGAACTTATGGCTGTACATGATTGTACCTTAAGTCAGTTGCTTCTGTGTAGGTGCACAAAACTAAGCTTATTCCAGTAGCAATGAATAATCCAATGTCAAATTTTAGTTATGTAGTTAAAGTAATTTGCACAAATGTATTACTCCATTGTCAAATGTTGGATTTAGAATATTAACAGCCTAGTAGCTTAACATTTAATTTTGGATTAAGTAATTAGTGATGGTTAACATGGTGTTTATCGAATCTAGAAGTTGAGGGACTGAATCAATTTGAATTTCCTGCGCTAGTTTATTTGAACAAAGTATGGATTTTGAGGAATCAACCCCACCCATTCACCTGTCAATTTGAAGACACCTGATCTTTCAGTTTAATAATGCATTTCTTGTACAGATTTGGTACTTTAATCTGGATCTGGGAGGCTTGATTACTTGAGTAGTTGCAGTCTTGAGGGGGTAACTTTTCTAGCCTCTCTCTTTGGGTTGAGGTGGAGATGAATGTGAAATATCAGCTGCCTTGAGCAGTGACGCAGTGAACTTAAGGCAATTCTGTTCTCCCTAAAGATGGCATCATAAAGTTAACACTTTTCTAATTTTGGCTAGAATTGGCCCTACTGTATCCTTAGTGCAAATTTAAACCTTCCCTTCAAATAAAGGGAAGTGCCATAGTTTTGGTTTTTAAAAAAAAAAACTACTTTTGGCTGGAGTTCCTGAATGTTGAGTTACTCTTGTGTATGAATGTTTGTGTAATTAGCACAACTGATTAAGTTGTTTTTGGCCAGCTGTGCCATGAATTCATTCTATGCAATGGAAAAAAACTGCAGAGCCATCCTGAAACTGCAGAAAACTACCTTCACAAAAAGTTGCAGTGACCTTTTTTAGCCTTGGCCTAGAAAGGTGCTGTATACACTGGGAGATTCCCAAAGCCCCACCCCTACTTGATGTAGGTGTTCTCATAGCTGCCTTTGGCTTGGTTTCATGATTGAAGCAGATTTTTATTCTATTACCTTGACAGCCCCTGACCCTTAACTGGGAACATGGCTTTATTTTGGATGAAGTTCCAATAATGACTAAATTCATTATTGCACAACAGCTACACAATCTACATGCTCCATTAACTATATTTTGAATTTAATAGCTTAGCTGACAGGAATTCTTCCCCCACCAAAAAAAACTTGCTTTACATCAGTTGATTCAAACTTCCCTTTTTCAAAAATGTACTTAATTTTTGAAAGCAGAAATTTGGTAACTTAAACATAGCACTTGATCTAGTGAAACAGTGACTGTGTTTTTGTGACACTTTTCTGAAGTGAGGGTTGAAATCTCAAACATGAGCCACCAAAGGTTAACAATAAGCTTATGTCATTATCTGGAGTTTGTTTTACTGACCCAATTACTTTGCATCTTTTTTTTTTTTTACTGCTTTCTTTGTGTATAAGCAGATGGTGAGTTACTTTAAATCTAGACTCTTCTGGTCCAGTTTGTAAAGTTCATTGCTTGTTTTGAGACCAACTTGCTTTTTCAGACTAACTGTTCATAACTTAAACTTGAATGATTATCACTGAGTGACAAGCTGGTGGTTTTTTCCTTGTATATCAACTTCCAAAGTTTAAAATCAAGCCAGCTTTTCTGTCCCTAACATGAAGGGTTTAGAATTGAGTCAATTTAAATAGCTATGCTGACTTGAATGGGTGAGTAGAAACATTTACCTAACAAATTGTGTCAACTATTCTGGCTTGTAGCTTGAAAGGGGAATAGAAAATAAATTGAACATTTTTTTACTGATCATGTTACCATATGTATCTTAAACTTGAGCTGACATTAAACTTGCTACATCCAACCAATTTGACTAAAGTTCAATGTAAACAAACTGCCTAAAGTTTCAGGCAGTAATGGGACTTTCAGTTTATGAACTGGACCAGAGCCATGAGCTGGAATTTTTGCATTTGCTATGTAGTGGTGTACAATTGGACACTTGGGATGGGAACAAGAACTAAGCGGTTAGGTTTTCCTCTGAACTGTACTCTAATCTTTTTTCAGATCTAGGAGATTTTCACTTTGTTTGAACATGGTGTCCCACTTATTGTCAAGTACAATAGTGAAATGTGGTTGAGTCACTCCTGACAAGACTCTTTTTGGAATGTCTTGCATCTGTGGAAACTAGCAGTTTCTGACTATATGCATCCTGTCTTAAGATGCTTGATGTGGAAATATACCATTTTGACTAATTCTGCAGTTTCTGCAAATTGCAGGTGGGGAAAACTTCTAAATCTGAGTGCTAGTTAAAGATGTTCCCATCCTTGGTGCTGTGTGCTCTGCATACAGATGAATGTTAGGTTCAAACCTGCTACCATTCACATGTAATGCAGTTTTATGTAAAAGTTAGCTTTTTAGAAAGCATTAGCAAATATACAGGTACTGCATTGCTCCTGGATGTCTTTCTGCACTGAAGTTCAGAAGCTAATTATCCATTTGACCATAAGGTTCCTCTATCAACAAAGCTAATTCTAACTGACAAATATCTAACCTTATCGGTCAGGTAAGAAATTAAATGCTTCAAAGAATGTCCTGGTTAAACTGAGCAGATTTGATGGCCCATGGCTTCTATTAGTTTACCCCTTTTCAAAAGGGAATCTTTAGTGACCTTTTCACCTTTAAACTTGACTGTCAGTAACTCCCTCTTTTTTTTGGAGGCGGTCGGGGGGAGATATTGAGAACAGACTTGAGCATTTTAGCAGTATCTGTTTAGACTTGATCTTTGGAATGAACTTTTTTGTTTTTAACAGCTGGAAAAACACTGCAAATATTTAACATTGAAATGAAAAGCAAGATGAAGGCTCACACCATGGTGGATGATGTCACTTTCTGGAAGTGGATCTCACTCAATACAATTGCCTTGGTAACAGACTCTGCAGTGTTTCACTGGAGCATGGAGGGAGAGTCTCAGCCAATGAAAGTTTTTGATAGACACTCCAGTCTAGCAGGCTGCCAGATCATCAATTACCGCACTGATGCCAAGCAGAAATGGTTACTGCTCATTGGTATCTCTGCTCAGGTATAGCATTCACTTGGTGCTGTTGTAATTCATACTAATACAAATAAGGCTTTGCCAGTAAGAGTTTGACTGACTTGTTTTAGGGTATGTACTGCATGATATCCCTCACTATTTATTAAATCTCAGTATTTTATACTCTGGTGCTGTCAACAATTGACTTTGACTTTGATTCAGTGCCTTAACTAAATCATCCTGTAGAGAAGACTGCTTCCAAGATGAATACTGCTGGGATAAAGAACAGTCATGAAACTAGGGTACTAGCCCCTGACAGGATGTTTTTGTGATGTACAACAGCTCATCTTGTTTCCAGCTACTATAGAAGTAGCTAAATACTTGCATTAAAGACCACAAAGCAATGTTTTTTGTTTTGGAATCAAGTAACTTAACTGAGGCTGTGCCCACTGACTTTGTATTTAAGTCCATTAATACACTTTTTTTCTAAACTAGTGAGGCATTTGTAGTGCCTAACTGCTTTCTAAACAAGGTAATTTTTTTGAATCTTTCAAACAGCAAAACCGTGTGGTGGGTGCAATGCAACTGTACTCATTGGACCGGAAGGTATCTCAACCAATTGAAGGTCATGCAGCAGCCTTTGCACAATTCAAGATGGAAGGCAATGCAGAAGAATCAACTTTATTCTGCTTTGCAGTCAGAGGGCAAGCAGGAGGGAAGGTGAGCCTGCCTCTGGCTGTTATGTTTATAGGGTAGCGATGTCCCTAAGGTCATACTGGACAAAGATTCTCATGACTTCACTTGTGTATTTTACTGAAAGCTGGCTCCAAATGCATCAACAGCAAATGTTAGCTTGCCTTAGTTTCCTGATCCTCAGCTTGTAAACACCACTAGCAACATTTCTGATACTAAACTTTCAGATACTCCCTGTTTAGGCAGTTCAAAACTTGGTTTCTGGCACTTCCTAGTGAAGTGATAGCTTTAGGTTGTTTTAGCTGTGGGCCAAAACCAAGGTGAAGGCCCTTCATAGATGGCTAGTCAGAAAACCAAGTTTATTTAGTGCACTACTACCTGCAATTGGAGTTTGTGATGTTTCTAGCTAGTCCAACAGTGGAAAAACTGATGCTTGATTCCAGTTGGTCTACTTTATTCAGTAGAAACCATTAGGCCTGATGTTTCAGAAGTATTGGTATATGTCAAGATTAGGAGCTGTAAATTGAACTACAAAACTTGTGCTGTGGCTTCGTAGTGTAACTACATTTTTGGCTTGGTTCTGTTGGACCTCTGAATTGAATTGTACTACTTTATTAGCTTGAGTTGGTATTGGTTCTGCAGTATTTAATGAATTATAGAATCTGATTCTAGTGTGTTAACAAATTACTGACTTGCTACCTGTAGGTACATTGTTGTTAATGCATCTTTGCCTTACAGCTTCACATTATTGAGGTGGGAACTCCTCCTACAGGAAATCAGCCCTTTGCCAAGAAGGCAGTGGATGTCTTTTTCCCACCAGAGGCACAAAATGACTTCCCTGTTGCAATGCAGGTAATTTGAATGTATGCAATGGAGAAATCATAGTCTGACACTTGAGTTTAAGAAACTAGAATCCACATTGGGTTTCATCCGGTGCTTTATACTACTGATTCAAGGCCATGACTACTGTGCATGCAGGTTGGATTAAAAGCTTATCTTTGCTGACAAAGATAATAAATCAGTCATAATACTTTAGCACTCAATTACCATGTACCTGCATAAATTAGCTGGCTCAAATGAGCTTTATATGCCACTACCTGGTATGTTAGTTGGCATCAGCATTGCCCTAGTGAAGCTTGAGGGCAACAGATGTTTGCCATAAACTAGTTTTAATTTGCATGCCTGAATTAACCTGCATGAACAGCCTACAGTTTTACTGTACCTAGCCATTAAAAGGATGGCAAAACCATATTAGTGATACAGCCTTCAGTTCACCAACCTTGCCTCCATTTGAAATCCTCAGTCAGTACAGCAGTGGCTCCTCAGCTTTTTTCTGTAGGTTGGAGAGCACTTTAGCCAACTTGTGGCTTTGGCAGCACCCTTGCATGAGCCATCAGGCTCAAGCTTCAATATCACTGAGTAAGTGTAAAATCAGTGTTGGGGCATCTTTGTGCAGTGCTGATTTCAACATCATTAAATTGGCTCCCAGCCCCCTGCTTGGCTGGCTTGTTAAAATCCATCTGTCTCCCTTTGAAGAAAGGGGTATCTTCCTCTAGTGTTCAGTCCAATATTTATCCTTCTGTTAAACAACTACAGTAGAACGGATTGTGATTGTCATGCTGTTGTGGAGTCCTGTGCACAACTGGAAGTTGCATTTCCTATTTCCAACAGTGACTTGTACTTCCAGCACTTGATTAGGTGACAACAGCTTTCATAGCTAATGAAGTGCCACATAAATCTACATTTTCACATCCATAGAGAAGCAACTTTATTTCTAGTTTTGAGCACTTGCACATAGTTTCACTACCTTCACGTTCTCCTTCTCTGCAAAGTGGACTTGGATTACATGAACTTTAGTGAATACATCTGGCTCTACTCACTGGCTTTACTCATGACCAGAAAAGTATGTACATAACTCATGGGAGAAGGGAGTTTGATAGTATACTATCTTGTGATGGGCCTAGCTTTTTTTTTGAACAGCTGTGCCTCACTTCATGAAGTGAACAGGCTTCAGTCTGTCTTTGCAGAAATGAGTTCAAGCAGAGAAATTCACCTTTAGACTGACTTGACTTCCCTCAGTCTTCCTGTTTTAACACTTGGGTTTTAATTTTTTTCCCATCCTGGAAAAAAGGAAATGTCATTGAATTGCACTTGGCTCCAGCTGTCATTTGAAGTAAATATTGAATTCAGTCACCTGAATTCAATAGTGAATTCAGCTGGCTGCTGAGGAGAAATTTTACTGGCATGCTGGCTGCTACCTAGAAAATCAACCTTGAACCTAGAATTAAAAGTGGCCATATTTGACAAATGACGGCTAGTAATTGTCCCAAGGTATCTTTTTAACCCACCTGCATCATGGACCATGCAAGGAAATGCAGAACAGGCTGTCATACCCATGCCTGGAGACTAATGGCCATGAACATGATTAAACTTCAGAATACTCCAGTGAACTGCTAATGTTTTGCCAGTGGCATGAATTTGGAAGTTTACACCCTTTTAAAGAAATCTTCAAGTGAAATTTGAAGTTTGTACCCCAATATCTGGGTAACTAGCCAAAATCCATTTGTACTAACAATGTGCATATAACAGCTGTAAATGATCTTAATGGGATATTTCCTCCAGTGCTGTATGCGATAAGCTAAAAAGCAACCTGGTGAGAACTTCATGAAACTATTTCTAGGCTGTTCTGATTCAATATGTAATAACTGAATGGAAGACTTTTTGTCTTAAGTTTTTAACCTTGTTACATACCACTACTTTTTTCCTGAAAAGATAAGTGCAAAGCATGATGTTGTTTTCCTGATTACCAAATATGGATATATCCACCTATATGATTTGGAGACTGGGACCTGTATCTACATGAACAGAATCAGTGGAGAGACCATCTTTGTTACAGCAGGACATGATGCTACATCTGGAATCATTGGAGTGAATAGAAAGGGTCAGGTAGGGAGGCTATAAACTTTACCAGCTTTTTAAAATTGCCAAGTTAGTCATTTTTACACACTTCTCTTCAGCACAAGCATCTATTGTAGTGGCTTCCATCTGTCCTCTTCTTTTCCAAAGAATCCACACTTTGAAAAACAAGCAAGAGTACTGTACAAAAACAGATTTAATACCTGAACTATAGATTTTAAACTACTTCACCTCCAACTGCATGCATTTGTTGTTCCTTGGTACAATAGCCATGCACTTGTGGAAGCTGACTTTGAGTAGTGACAGCTGGCTGTGGCTCTCTGCTACTGGTTATCAGTGCATCCAAGACAGCTGCATCCAATTAGTGTAATTCCTTGTCATGCCATGTTTAATGTTGGCTGCAGCCAACGATCTCAATCCTTCTGTCCAGATTGCTGGACTGAATGATTTGCAACTGACTAATTCATTCTATTTATCTTAAACTGTTTTACAGTTTCAGCTCTTTACTTTGTTCTGTTCTGCTTCACCTCACTTCCAACACCTTTTTTGTGGTTTGCCTCTACTCCAACTGCTAAACTCTACACACTGCCTGGTCCCAAATAGGTTAGCAAGTGCAGACTTAATTTCCAGTGTTGGCTTCAAGTTCTAATTAAAATTTAAATTGTAAATAGATCACTTCACTCCCTATCTAGTCTCAATTGAACTGTTGTAAGTCTTCCAAGTTCTTGGCCTAAATACTGTAGCACTCTGGGGTTTCTCCCTGAATTTCCTTCAGATTAAGGCACCCAGTGTAACTTTGACTAAGCTTGTGTTCTTAACACACTTGGCACAGAATAAATGATTCTTCCCAATAGAACAAGTTGCATGTGAAATTTAACTTGTTTACTGAACTAAAGCCTGCATTTTTTTTACTTGAAATGCAGTTCTTCCTCAATGCAAACTAACTTGTTGCTTCCTGTATCAACTTCTCAGAAATTTAGTGCAAAGGTAATATTGGTAGATTTATTTTGGGGATTATTCAGAACTGTACAAAACTCTTCTGGAAAAGTGTATATTATAGCAATTTAGTGTCCTTGCAGTTCTAGGCAAGGAAACCGTCTCTTGGGCAATGTGCAAATCAGTTGGAGTCTAGCCACCATTTAGGTGGCAATAGCCTCATGAAGATGAAGTGTTCAAAGTCAATTGATCTGTTGCTTACCAGTTATAGTTGTGTAAATTTTTGATGTGAAATGTAATCTGGCAACTGAAGGTCAGTTAGTGCTTTCCACCTGGTGGATGGGGGAAGATGAGTTGCTGCTTAACTTGATTTCTGACTTCCAGACCTTCCTACAATTACATTATAATCCAGAATCTAAAATGTGGCATTTAAAAATTAACCTACAGTCTCTGCTATTGGCACAGTTGAATTTTTGTCAACAAGCTTCCATGAAGCTCAGGCACATGAGAGCAACAGTGGTGGTCACATGGAATTGGCTGCAGGAATTTGTGGCCAAACACTTTTGGGGTGGGGGAGAGAAGTAAGCTGGCATGTCTATATAACCTTAAACTAGATTCCCAAAGCAGCTTACACCATAGACTGCTTCTTGAAATGTAGTCCAATGTAAAACCTGACAAATTTGTGCACTGCAAGGGTCCACAAATGCGTTAAGGAGCAGAATCTACTTTTTGGACTGTGGTGTTCTGGTAGAGCTCCTGTTTTTAGAACACTACACTGGGATATCTCTCATCCATGTAGAGGTAGATGAGACCTCAGTTGAGTGAAACAAAAGTCTGCTTATTTACACAGTGGAGCCTGGCCATCTAGTTTGTCAACCTAGATTTGTGCTCCAGTCTCTGAAATGGAATCCACAATCTTGGCTAGTGTTGCTAAGCTGTTGGAGGTTTCTTTTCAAAGTACTTCATAGTCAGGATTGTCGAACCGCCTGTGAAAAAGCTTGGCTCAAAGTGCATAAATATATGGAATCACTTGACTCAATGGAGAACAAATGAAAGCCTGGCTTTCAAGTGAGCTGTTATACCTGAAGGTATAAGGAGCCTGCAATTTTCCCTAGACAAACGACCCATGACAATGCAGTGTACTACCATGTGAATATCACGAGTTCACTGACTAAAACATGTTAACACATCTCCCTGCCTTCACCCAAATGTAATAAGTGATCATATTTAGGTTGTGCATGATGTTGGATGCTCATGCATTGACCTGTAAGTTAATGTTTGTCTGGTCGTCATCTTGTTCCGTTCAACAAAAATCTATTGATATGAGTTCACCATTAGCTGTGCAAGAGTTTGTTTTCAGCACAACTAAATTATAAAACCAGATCCTGTAAATCAGGAACAAACAGTTGCTGGAAAAGCTCAGCAGGTCTGGCAGCATCTGAAGGAGAAAACAGTTAATGTTTCAGGTCCAGTGACCCTTCCTCAGAACTGAACTCAGTTCTGAGGAAGGATCTCTGGACCCAAAACATTAATGACTAAATTATACACCAGTTCCAAATGTAGAACAGAAGCTGTTTTTCTTGTGCTAATACTGCACATTTTGTTTTCACCTAAGCAGTTGCTACACTCTAGCGCAAGGAGCTCTGCAAATGGGTCAGCATCAAGGCTGTAGTTTGTCAGACATACAGTGCAAATAGACCCTTTGGTCAGCAAGGACAAGTTGGACTAGATATCTTGGATAAATCTCTGGGCCAATTTTGGCCCAATCTGTCTAAACCCTACCTATTCATATACCCATCCAGATGTCTGTCTTAAATGTTGTAATTGTATCAGCCTCCCCTACTATTTCCAGCAGTTCACTGCATACATGCACTGTCCTCCTGGAAAAAGTTGCCCCACAGGTCCTTTTTTAAATCTTTCCCTTCTCCCCCTAAACCTTTACCCTCCAGTTTTGGACTGCCCCACTGCAGGGGGGGAGCCCTTGGCTATTCACCCTATCTACACTTGATGTGTTTACTGTGGTGTGACCTTTGAACTTCAGTTGCATTTCATCTCCTGTAAGTAGTGAATTGTGTAATGTAGAGTCTGGTTTTAAGATGACCAGTCTGGTCCCTAATTCCATAATCTAGTTTGAGATACAAAGCAATCAATGCAAACTTGATGCCCTTCTCCACACTGAGGATTCTGAATCTGAAAAGATGTGCAATGGCATCAGCTCATTGTCCCAAAACCTGACCCGGTTCTGATCAAATGGATCATCTGAAGCTGCCAGCATAAACAGTTGGTAGACTAACCTGGCTTATTTCAACACCAAATAAACCTGTATAGGGCTAGAATTCTGCCCACTCAACTTGACAGCTGTTTAAGTTGGCGTTCAGTGAGTCAGCTGCTATATAAACTGTGTACTAGCTGCCACTTGCAGTGCAGACAGTTGGCCCATTGAATCTAGTCAATGCAACAAATTCTGACCCCACTTGTTTTTGTTTTTGCTTTTGAGTTCAGTGTTACCAGAACTTTTTTGTTTTAAACACAAGCACCTGTGGTGTCTTTGCATCTTGCACTTTACCTTTTTTTAAATCTGTACTCTTGTTTATCATGAAACAGTTCTTACAAAATGGAGTTGAAATTTAGAATCTTTCAATCTGTTCCAGGGCAGCAGTCTCTGCTTCTCCATCCAAAGACTCTAAAAATTGCCAATCCCTGGAATTAGCTGCAGAGGAGCTCTGCACCCTTTCAGTGTCCCTTGGTCAGGGACAACACAATGGCATGTCAGTGTCTTTCAGCTTTGGAAGTTGCTACTGTCCATGGGTGTCATCCCTTTTAGGAAACACTAAAATGTGGGTTTGGCAGCATCTGAATTAACACTTCAGGTCTGGTGACCCTTAACAGTTCTAAGGAAGGGCCACTGGACCTGAAACAGGAGCTTATTTTCCACTTCTGTCACATCTGTTGAGCCTTTTTTCTAGCATCTTGTTCCTGATTTACAGCATTTGTAGTTCTTTCAATTTTCAAAAGTGGGTTGCTTGGTGTGGCAACCTGAATTAGTCATTTTAGTGGCCCTGTAAATTGTTTAATGTAACTACTTCTTCAATCTCAGACTACACAAATGGGAATGGATTTCTTGTTTGAGCATTGATGCAGCCACCCTGTTTGACCAGTTTTACAGGAACCTATTACTTGTATGGATCAACAGATCAAACAGGGCTTGTTAATCCATATACAAGAATGCCCTATGAGATTTAATGAATATTTAAATGCTTGACCCTTTGTAGCATAACAGTTGAACAATACTTGTATGTCTTTGTACAACAGAACTGAACATACAAAGGAACACCTATGCTCAGTTTGCAACAAACAACTGCAACTCCCAGTCACAAACCACTTCAAATCCCGCCCCCCACCCCTACTCCTTAGACATGTCCATCCTGGGCCTCCTGCATTGCCATAACGATGCCACCTGAAGGTTGCAGGAACAGCACCTCCTATTTCACTTGGGAACCCTGCAGCTCAACGTGGACTTCACAAGCTTCAAAATCTCCACTCCCCCGACCGCATCCCAAAACCAGCCTAACTTGTCCTTCCTCCTACCTACCAGCCTCATCCCACCCCCTTGACCTGCCCATCCTCCCTGGACTGACCTATTCTCCCCACCTACACTCACCTTTTACTGGCTCCACCTCTGCCTCTTTGACCTGTCTGTCTCCTCTCCACCTATCTTCTCCTCTCTCTATCTGCCTCCCTCTTTCCCCCTCCCCCACTTCTGAAGGGTTTAGGCCTGAAATGTCAGCTTTCCTGCTCTGCTGCTTGGCATGCTGTATTCATCCAGCTCTACACCTTATCTCTTTTATGCTAAGCAGTGCTATGGAGTTCAAGGGCACAACAGTTTCCCCCCCCAGGTGTAATCAAATAGAACATCCAAGTTCTTGTCTCCACAATGTATTGGCCAACTCTTCCACTTCAATGGAAAGGCATTGATGTCTAAACAGCTTTGCTTTTGAATTAATATTTTGTCATGGTGCTTAACCCTAGCTCTTGACTGACTGTCTTCCTGACTAACATGAACTTTTTCTCAGCAACATTGTTACTGCACTAAATTAAATTCTGACAAGAGGATGCTGCCTCATGAAATCAACTGTAGTATGTTCTCAAGTTCATTTTTAACTTTGTTATTTCAGGTATTATCCGTTTGTGTTGAAGAAGAGAATATCATTCCTTACATCACCAATGTGTTGCAGAACCCAGACCTTGCACTGCGCATGGCTGTGCGCAATAACCTAGCTGGGGCAGAGGAGCTCTTTGCTCGCAAGTTCAATGCTCTCTTTGCTCAAGGAAACTATTCAGAAGCAGCAAAAATAGCTGCAAATGCACCAAAGGTAATGTATTGTACAGTGTAGTCCAAATTTGAGTTGGCAGGATAGTCCAATTTTTGGACTAGAGGTTCATTTCAGATGGGGGTTATATCCAAAGTGGGGCAATTTAAGATTGCAGCTGTTTCAAACTGAGCTAACTGTGTAAAACATCCAAGTTTTAATGCACAACTGGTGGCAAATTCTTTGCCATAGACACTGCAGCTACTGGCTTAACTGGAGACTGCATCAGAAAGCATATTCAACCTACGGCTTGTTTTGCGTCCAAATCTTCAGCATTGCTTTGAGTGGCCTCTGACACTTGAAATCCATTTTGAACAAGGAGTCACTTGCCTGCAAACAAATATTAACAACTATGAAACAATTTTTGACTTGCTTTCAAGTTTGTGTACACTAATCTGCCTTCTCTCAACCAGGGTATCTTGCGCACTCCAGACACTATTCGGCGTTTTCAGAGTGTAACTGCTCAGCCAGGGCAGACATCCCCTTTGCTTCAGTACTTTGGAATACTACTTGATCAAGGGCAGCTGAACAAATTTGAATCTTTGGAACTATGTAGGCCAGTGCTACAGCAGGGTCGTAAGCAGTTGCTTGAGAAGTGGCTAAAAGAAGATAAGGTAATTTGACAAATGGATTTTCTGCTTGGGTTCATCCCCCAAGTGATTTTAGTCTTGCTTCCCATGAAGTGGATGAGACTAAACTTTAAGTACTTAATGTGGCTTTAAGCTTTTACCAGCAGCTTCTGATAACCTGGCTTACTGTGGTCACTAAACAGAAGGTATTCACTGGCCCAAGTTGGATCATCAAACCAATGTTAAAATGCTCTGTCATAGCCTTCAGTTCTTTTTTAGGTATTAGTCTGAATTTAATTGCCCAGGACACTGCCTGAGACCCTTTTAACTTAAATATTGTATGCAAATATGAAAGGCTGTAGTGATCCATTGCACTTGTCCTCACTTTCTCTCAACCTGTTCAACTTTTAGGAATTCTTCCCTGCACTCCAGCATCTGGAATTGGGAACCCATGCCTTAATTCACTAGTACCAAATTGTCAACTTGCATGTAGACCATACTAACTCAAGCTACCATGTATTGGGCTCAATTGATTTTGTAGTTTTTTTTGGCCACAGTGATCAGCTCTCAAATATTTCATGGGTTAAACAGGCCTTTGACACCTATGAAAACAAACTTGAACATGTCTCTTGGATTCAGTCCACTGGACCAAAGCACTAAATTGAAGCTTACTAGGGAGGAAACCTACAACTAATCTTCCACTTGTGTGCCTGTATCACTCGGATCATTTTTAGAAGTGGTAGAGTACTTTAACAAACTAAAATTTGAACTTCATTTACTTAATTTATAATGGCTCAAATGATGTTCCTATAGCTGGAGTGCTCTGAGGAGCTTGGTGATATTGTGAAGTCTGTGGATCCCACACTGGCATTGAGTGTCTACCTGAGGGCAAATGTCCCCAACAAAGTGATCCAATGTTTTGCAGAAACTGGCCAGTTCCAGAAGATTGTGCTGTATGCAAAGAAAGTAAGTGTTCTTTTGTTAATATAGTTGTGTAAATTTGTTTTAACTTGGAACATGAAGTATTGAGAACTTATCAAACATACAACTTGTTGACACTAAAGCAGATTTAACAAACTTTGAACAAGAATGTTGCTCAACATTGAGTTTCAATTAAACTTGTCAAGATTCAGCGAAGTTCCAAGCTTTTCAAAAATCTTAACTGGAGCTGTGAACAATGTTTCAGTCCTGGAAGCACAAATAGGCTATACAACTAGTTTATTCTGTAGGATCATGACTACAAGCTTAAATTTTTTTTCATCCTGGCCAATGGCCTGAACCTGTTCTTGTGACAAATCTTTGCCTTGAATGTGCTTAGCTTGAATATCTAAATTCTGGGGTAGAAAGCTAAACCCTTAAACATTTCAGTTCCCGATCCTTCTGAGGCTGACTTCTCGTTCTAGATTTCTGAAACCGGGGCAAAGAGCCCCCACCTAAAGATCATTTAACTCATGTTCAAATGGGATTGTCATCTCTCTTCCAGACACCCTTTCTTCTTAATGCTACCTTTTTAAATTTCTGGCCCTGGAAGAGAAGTATTTCTTTAACAAAGGAGACACTGGTTCATAAGGTACAGGATCTTGAGCTCAGCAAGACTGTTCAAACTTTTGATGTGATCCCATGGAATAAAGGCTGAAATGTTACTTGTCATCTTGCCATACTTGCATGTTAACTTTTATGCTTCAAACATGTATCCTCCAGTCCCTGAATGCCAGCATTTACTAGCCTCTTTAAAATTTCTATTGGTACTCAAATTTCCCAATTTACTCTGACACCATTTTGCTGGTCCTTGCCCATATCAAATGTCTATCGGACTAACCTATTACCAGGAACCAAACATATCACTGCCCCCTCAGGCATTGATCATGTTAGATAGCTGAGGCCTAAGCACTGACTTCAGCAAAAATGCTAATTGCAGCCTGAATTCCTCATTTTTGGGTTGGAAAATTGAATAGACCAGCTTTAATCTGCTTTAATCTCTTTTTTGTCTTGAGTAACATTTTTCAAATGTTACTGCAATATGCATATCTCTGGTATAATGCAGACTGAGTAACTGCAGGAGGTCCACTTATGGTAGGTGTAATAGCTTATCAGGACTAAGACTTGTGTTCCACATGTTTAGCATTATCTGCCCTAGAGGGCTTTGGAGGCTGTCATTCTGTTATGACTTTTCGATGTATCAAGTATATCAGTCACCAAAATACAATTTGTTCAGTCCATCCTAATTACATGAGGTGCTAAATGGCCTAATCTTGCACTTCCTGCATTCCCTTGTTCCCATTTATCATTTTTTTGGATTGTGATTCAGATCAGTTCAACTTTTGGGATTACTAAAGCTTGCTGTAAACTGCCTTCTCAATGAAGAAATGCTGCAAACCTGCTGAAGTTAAACTCCATATTGATGCAGCTAGATGACATCACATGCCTTTAATTTTTGTTTCTCCATTTATTGCTCATCTATATTGTCTCTGTCTCTGCTCAGGTTGGTTACTCACCTGATTGGATCTTTCTGCTAAGGAATGTAATGAGGGTAGGCCCTGATCAAGGACTTCAGTTTGCTCAGATGTTGGTTCAGGATGAAGAACCTCTTGCAGATATCACCCAGGTAGGAACTCTTCTTGTGAAATTGAACACTTTAAACATTTTCTATTGCAAAACTAATTTGTCCTACAAGCAAACTGTTCCTTGGTCCTCGATTTCTAGAACTTTGGCTGGCTTTCTCGAGATTGAATGAATGGCTTTGCAAAGCTGAAACCCTTGCTGCTGGAAACTAACTCTAAAATCACATTACTACAGTATCCTTAAATTCCCATATTTAATCAACTATTGCCTGAAGAACTTTCATGACACTTAACTTGTGTCCAGCATTAATTGTGCTGGGAGGTGTCCCACTGAAGGTCTTGGCAAGTTGATCACCATAATACTTTTTAGATTAACCTGCCCAGAAGTTGTGCTCTTCTGAACCAGGTTGGACTTGAACCTGGGTCTCCTGGTCCAGAGAAGGGATACAACCCACTGCCATAAGAGCCTTCCATGTATAAGATTGGAATGCAGATCTTTGGTGGTTTAGTGACTCCAGTAGGTACTTTAGTTGAATTTCCATCTGTGATGGAGGGAACCATACTATCTCATCTGTAAAATGGGCTGTTTTTGTTCAGGAGGCGATAGATTTAATGCTGAGTTGGATTACCAAGTATGAGATGTTCAGTTGTATCTCTTGGAAAGAGTCTTGGATTATTGTCTGAAGCTTTTGGCTGGAAGCTGCATGTTGATGATTTTATGTAACTTGTTAAAAGTTTGTAGTTTTGATGAATTGGTTCTGACATGGAGTATAATCAAAAGATGTTGGCAACAGATTTGTGACTTGGAAAAGGGAAATTGGAGGGAGAAAATGTGCTGGGCTGTGGAAGAGTGTCTGAGCTGAATAGGAACCTGTATTGTAATGGGGTGGGATGGGGTTGCCTTTGGTTCCTTAGCATTCATGTAAGCATGGATTACAGTATAGTTCTTTTCCCAAAGGGTTTCTTTAAAGCACATTCAGCCCTAAACCTTTGAAGGAAAGCTTGTATCCAGCATGTTATCAAATGGTTGTTCAGGTATACTTTAAAGAACAGACGTTCTCTTGCCTAAAAGTGCATCCTCATGATCCCAGTCATGCTGCAACTTGTTACTCTTAACTGAGTTCAAGAGGACAACTTGTATGAAACATACACCATTCACTTTGCTAACCTTTGTTTACAGTATTTAATATCCAGACTTGGAACTTTATTGGTTCTTGTTGCAGATTGTTGATGTGTTCATGGAATACAACCTGATCCAGCAGTGCACTTCTTTCTTACTGGATGCCCTCAAGAATAACCGTCCATCTGAAGGACCATTGCAGACTCGCCTCCTGGAGATGAATCTTATGCATGCTCCTCAAGTATGTGATCACTGCAGTAGCAACACTGTCTTTAATCTCTAGACTGTTTCATTCCTACCCAGTATTAAGATTTGAATATTAATACCACCCTCTTTGCAATGTCTACACATGCTTCATGTAACTTATCCAGCTGAACTCCATGGTGTTTGACCTCCTTTTGTAGTATAAGCCAATCAAATTGAGGAGAAACCACTTTACTAGTGTGGAACTTGTAACCATGAGTAATTTTTACAGTGCAGAGGTAGTGCCCCTGAACTAGAGGCCTGGGTTCATCTCCCACCTACTGGAGATGTGAAGACATCTCCAAACAACAGGTGGACTAAAAGTTAAATTTTAAACATTGAAGTGAATCTCTTGGTGGTTTTCAACAGGAAGCTAGATGAGAAATGGGTTATCTTGGCTGAAATGGGCAGGCCCGAGAGCAAATGTCTATGGACTAGTCTCTTAGACTTTCTGTAAAGACTCGATGGTTTGCTACACTAAAGATCCCATCTGAATGCTAGCCTTGGTTTGATCAAGAATACATTTTTGGTAAAGTCTGACTGCTTCAGCTTCCTGCAGCTGATGGGATGCTACTGCAGTTATAAACATGTGGCTGATATTTCAACCCCCTCTAGTGGCTGCATGAGTGATGTGCACTTTAGTCATTTTGTCCAATTCTGCATTATACAACCAAATGTACAGTTTAATGTACCTGGGTTCTTGATAGTTGGTATGTCATACCTGCATATATTGCATTAAAATGCTCTGAGCATTCTCCCTTCCCAGTCATGTATCCTGCTCCTACTGATTCCCCTTCAAGGTTTGGGCCTGCCCATGTGATTTGCACATTAGACTTTGTATTAGAGAAATTGTTTTCCAATGAGAGAATATTTTGACGGTGCTTTCTCTTCCCTCCCCTTAGGATTGTGTTTCCCAATGAGGGTCCTTTAAAATATCATACCTAAACTCCTCCAATTGCATTGTTTTCAGGTTGCAGATGCTATTCTTGGTAACCAGATGTTCACTCACTATGATCGTGCACACATTGCTCAGCTTTGTGAAAAAGCTGGACTGCTTCAAAGAGCCCTGGAACATTATACAGACCTGTATGATATTAAACGTGCTGTAGTGCACACCCATCTGCTAAATCCTGAGGTCAGTAAATGATTATGGCCTAATCCATAACTTGGATTTGGAATTAAATTTTGATGCAACCTAGACCTTTTGATTTTTCATGCTTAATGTTGAGCCTAGCATCTAACTAATCAAGAATATTCAGCAATTTGAGAAGCTAATTACAACTTGGAAAGATCAAATTGAATATTTCCCTTTTTATAGTGGCTTGTCAATTACTTTGGCTCCCTGTCTGTTGAGGATTCTGTTGAATGTCTGCGTGCCATGCTGTCTGCCAACATCCGTCAGAATCTGCAGATCTGTGTGCAGGTTGCTTCCAAATACCATGAGCAACTTGGTACACAGCAGCTGATTGAACTGTTTGAATCTTTCAAGAGTTTTGAAGGTAGATGTTTAACTTTGTTCGTAAACTCTACTTGGGAAGGGGGTTTTAAACCATGGATAGCTCTGAATCATGTGGCAGAAGGGGAATTATGCAAGCTGTAGCTTTCATCACTCAGATTTCCTCAGATTTTAATGCATTGTTAACTTGGCTCAACTGTGTATGGAGTCCATGAATCAGCAGAGGTTGCGCTTGTGTAATCACTATTTGGCTATAGGATTTCCTCTCTTGAGGAAATGGTGCCCAAGTCTCATTTGCAGTGGAAACTCTCTCCTTGAAACAAATGTGAACTAAGTTGACATTACTTCATTACTTCCAGCATTTTAAAGTACATGGTTGTTCCAGTAATATTTTTATTTCTGCCTATACTTGAGCAGAAGTGCCCAGGCCTGTCCTCACCTCTTTGGTATTGTCAGACTCTTGCCATAAGTTGTCTGTCAACCATTGTTCTGTCTTTGCTGACCTGCACTAACTTTGTTTAAATTCTCACGCTCGCAACTTTTGAAAGCCTATAATACACCACTGATCTCTTTGATATGGGCAACTCCATGGCCCATTGTGAATTACCTCCTGGGCCACCTTGACTTTAATCTCAATTCCAATATCCATCTTTAATTCGCTTAGACTAAAGATCCATGGCATTCTGGAATAGCTAGTGAACCTGGAGAGGCAGTGACTGCATTTGGAACAAGTGGAAAGGGCAAATGGTCTACTTCTACACTTGGCGCACTCACCTGACTTCTGTTCCTAGCTCTAACTTTGTTCTCAATTTACAAGTTGTTACAGGATTCTGTTCCTTTAAAGTGGAACAGCTAGTAGTCTGACCTGGCTGAGCAAAGTTTCAACAGAACACCTTTGATTTTAGTCTTGGGTTGTGGGCTGATGTAATTGAAGTGAATCTTGCCATTGTGTAAACATTTACAGGCCAAGTCATAGCCAGAAGTTCTGGTTGCTAACTGAAAGGATTTTCCTGCTTCTGACACTTGTGTTGCTTCCTTTTTGTAAGGCCTGTTCTATTTTTTGGGCTCCATTGTAAACTTCAGTCAAGACCCAGAAGTCCACTTTAAGTATATTCAGGCTGCCTGTAAAACCGGACAGATCAAAGAAGTGGAACGAATTTGTCGGGAGAGCAATTGCTATGATCCAGAACGTGTGAAGAACTTCCTCAAGGTAAAAACAATTTCAGGTCCTGACACTTGTTTGCTTGGGCATATACTGGGTATAATTCAAAGCAAGTAATTGTGTTTTAGTAAATGGAAAATGGATATTGAATTGCTAAGTTTAAAAATTGGCCTAAAACCAGAATACTGGATTGCCTTGCTTTTCAAATGCCCATTGTATGATTTAAATTGTCTTTTTTCTTTCTTTTTTTTTTCATCTTGCTCCTGAATTACATCTATAGTCCTGTGTTGGGCAGTATGATGTGTATTAAGGAACTGACCAACTAAGATAGGACAAACCTGGTCCTGACCTCAGTCACTTTATTGCCAAACCAGCTCTCCAACTGTCCAAGCCTTCAATGTTTTTACTGAACCCAGTTTGGTCAGACAATTAAAACATTTTAGTTATCAGTTGATCTTTATTCTTGTGCACTGCAGTTCAAGGCTTTGAATTGAGGAAATTCCTATCCTGAATGCCTGACTAGAGGCTAGCTCCCTGTAAAGCAGAAGCTGAATTCAGTCCTTACAATTGAGACTAGCTTCAAGTTAATTAGTTTCTCACACACAATGTAGATCTTGTTTTACTATAAATGTGCATACAAAATTAAGTACAGTTGTGATCAAATATAATTTGTAGTGACCTATTCCTGTGTAGATTTTACTTGAGGTGTAATAAGTAAATAGACTAAACTAGCTGCTGTCTTGACTGTAGTCAACAGATCCACAAACCACTTCATTAGAATAGATTAAACTGGGTCTGGGGATTAAGGTTTGATCCCTTGGCTGTTGTTAATTTGAAATCTGAGGTGACTAAGTAACAAGTGAAACTTATTCTGCTGCTTGTCAGTTTGTATAATGTGAAGTGTCCAGCTCCTGATGGAAGCTATTATCTTTTGTGCTGTCCCTTGTCTGGACTGGGCAGGACATGTACCAGGTAAACTTTTTTTTGTAGCATAGGCTATATCCCTTCCTTTTCCCTCCCCCTTTTTTATTTTCCAGTAGACTGTCCTTGCCCTTGTGCAGGATAGTGCTCTTTGTGACAAGACATTGGCAGAATATCAATGTGGAGCTGGCCGAAGTAGAAAGTGTCTCCTAGAATATCCATGTAGCTGTGCTTTTAGATTAACATAAAACTAATTGTAATCCCAAAACTTGACTCCATTGTGGATTGAAGCAACCATTGAGGACTCCAATTCATGTATCTAGTTGGTATGAATGTCAGAGGGGAGTGCCACTACCAGTTAATTTTTCAATGTGTTGAAATACTGCCTGCACCTGAGCCAAAAAAGCTACATTTGAGCAATTGTTCATGTTTCTGCAATTAAATTGGGGCACTGAAGCTATTCAAACACTTTTAAGATTTCCTGCCAACCTTTAGTTATGCATTCTCCGGTTTAAATTAAAT